TTAAAATCTTTATAAAAATAAATATGCTGCAATTAATCCTAATGCTCACCTCCTCCTTTCTCTCTCTAAATCTCGCCTCTCACCTCTCGACCCTCTTTCTCTCTCCACACAAGCTGCCGACGATGCAGCCACTACTCAGCACCGGGCTATGGCGGCGATCCACATACTTTCTCTCTCTAAATCTCATCTCTCACATCTCTCTCTCCACACGAGCTGCCGACGATGCAGCCCCCACAGCTCCGGGTTATGGCGGCGATCGCCTCTCACCTCTCTCTTTCTCTCCACACGAGCTGCTGGCGATGCAATCCCCACACAGCAACGGGCGATGGCTGGTGCTGACGATAGTGGTGGATCTATAGGTGTGCTTTTGGACAATGGTGGCGTGGGTAAATGAGCAAGAGAGGATAGTGGGGAAGGCGGCGATTTGGGTGGTGGATTTGAGGAGGGAATTGGGGAAGGAGGCTGCACTGGTGGATTTTAATCTTCTTATTGATCTTGAAATTGTTGGGTTTGGTTTGTAGTGTGAGGGAGTGTCTGCAGAGTGTTTCCCATTTTCATGTGAGCTGAAATGGTGAGTTTTTAGAAATCGTTAAATTCCTTTTCTGACTGTATATAAAGCAACGTTTGCTTGGGTAAGTCAGATGGTTGATTTTTTTGAAATCGTTAAAAATGATCTCTCGTTTGTAAGCATAGACTTGGACGATATTACAGACACTCGACAATTTGTGATTAAAAATTAACACGTGACTAATAAATTTGAAAATATGTGATTGATAGATAAAAATTATCATGTTATCAATCATTATAAACAAAAAATCATGCGTTGTGACTTGTGACCTGGCCTGTGACTTGATTTGTAACTTGTGACCTAGCCTGTGACTTGATTTGTGACTTGTGACCTGGATTGTGACTCTTGACTTGTGACTTGTGGCCTGAGCTACGACTTGTGTTATGGGCTGTGACTTTTGACTTGTGACTTGTGACATGGGCTGTGACTTGTGATTTGGGTTGTGACCGTAAAAAAAAACATGTCAACCGTACAAAAAATATAGCAGAGTTGTCGCTGGAATATTCGCTGGAGTTGGAACAATTGCCAGATCGGAGCAGTCGCCGAAAAAAATCGACGCCTGAAAGGTCGCTGGAATAGTCGTCGGAACGGTCGTCGGAAAGTTCGCCGGAGTAGGGCGGTGATCGGAACGATCGTCGGAGCGGTAGGGGTGGTGAAGGTGGAAT